GCGTCTCCTGGTGAATTTACCAAGCGTGCTTTTTACAACGGTAAATTGGACTTGACGCAAGCCGAAGGATTAGCCGATCTGCTATCTGCTGAAACGGAATTACAAAGAAAACAGGTAGCTAGGAATAAATGCGTATGTTTTAACTCTCTCAGGCTTTTTTGCAAACCGAGGGACACCTAAAGAACGTCTACATGCGTTGGAAGAACGTTTTGGTGAGTGCGCTGGCAAACTTGGAGGCCTACATCGATTTTCACGAGACCGAGGTTTTGGATGCTGATTTGGTGAATGGCACGATGAATAGCGTCTTGAAGCTGTCGGAAGACATACGCAAACATCTTGGTAACGGGGTCAGAGGCGAATGTTTAAGGAATGGCGTGAAAACCGTTCTAATCGGCGAGACCAACGTGGGCAAAAGTAGTCTTGCTAATGTTCTTTGTAAGGGCGTAAGTACAGGATGGTCCATTAGTATCCCAGAATTTCATGTTAGCCAACTGTTTAGGCAGTGAGCATTTGACAGTGAACAAAGAATCAGACGCCTTTACTAAAACAAAGTGTCACTTGGTTCAGTGCTTCAGTGGTACAGGGGCTTGCTAGTGGGTGGTTTACGTTAGTACCTACGCACTGAAACACTGGAACGTAAAACCAACATTAAGATCTCCCATCAATAAAATTTTAATGAGCCGAACGCTAATGGACCACCGTCCAAACCGAATCTCTAGTAACATGTTCGTAGGCAGCCGACCTTTATCCATAGTAACTCCCATACACGGTACCACAAGAGACGTACTAGAGGCAACTTTAGACATAGGTGGCTATCCCGTTGTACTCAACGACACCGCTGGTTTACGTTCGCAAAGTGCGGACGTAATAGAACAAGAAGGTATGATTCGAACCTTAAGGGCCTGTGAAGACGCCAATTTGATATTATTAGTCGCCGACTGCACAAATTACTTATCATGGCAGAAAGCGAGCCAATCAAGTAATTTTCTCGACTTCCTCGCCTTTTACGCGCGAAAGCTTGACATTTGCGATATTTTATTCAACGAAGATAACACGACAAAGAAGCCGTTCATTGTCATTGGTAATAAGGTGGATTTAGTCGAAGAGTGTGACCTGGTACACTTGCAGTCGTTTCAAAACCTGATCTCTTGCAATTCAAAGAAAGGCATTGACTTCTTGACTTCTAGCATTATTGACCAGTTGAAGCAAATGTAAGTTAACTTCGTCGGAATTCTAAGGGAATATCATAATTGGTAGATGTGGAGAGCCGACGGAAGAGCATCCCAGTATGAACCAAGTTCGTCATCGTGAGTATTTAACTTTATGCTTGAGACATCTAGAGTCCTATCTGCAAGATCGCCAGTCTTTTGACGACAACACTGTCTTTATGGCAGAGAAGCTGAGGAAAGCTCTTCGACAGTTAGATAAGCTAACAGGCACTTTTAGTACTGAGCAGTTGTTAAGTGTCATTTTTAATCAGTTTTGCATTGGAAAATAAAATTATTATTAGTATTTGTTTTTTGTGGTGTTTACGATTGACAAATGACAGTAGTGTGATGCTTTAAAAGTAAATTCCGACTGAAATTTTATAATCAAATCTTTACGGTGTATTTGACATTGATATCGGACTAGAGCTATGCACATCTCAAAAATGACACTGTAATATACAGATCTGTAATGTCAACATTTAAATTTTATTAGAAGGGAATCCACGTAGTCAGATAACATATTTAATTTCAAAACAGGCTTCGCAGAAAACAACGGAGCTATAATCGTTAAATGAATCTCAAACAATAGGTAGTAATCAAACTTTATATCAAGGAGTCGACGAAAATAAGAAGTTAATCTTTGAACTTCGAGTGGCAACCTTGTGAGCTCAAAAGGGTGCGTTCAGTCTAATCTTTAACAGTCAATAACACAAACAAACAAAATTGGTAGTGAATAGCGCGGCACATAAAATATTGCGAAAGCAAGGCTAACGTCTGGCACTGGGACAATCGTACACTAAAACTGTATTTAATATTCAATAAAAATTAATAATTCGAATGATCTGACACTAGCAACAAATTTTGACTCGACCACGGATTATCCTTACACCTGTATAAAAGCATAAACGAGACGTTAAATTCAAGAAAACTACTTTACGATGTACAAATAACTAAATTTCTATTCATCTAATCAATGTCAATAAGATAGTATGAACAAGTTCTTCGGAGTAACATAAGTAACGTAATTAAGAATCGTTGATATTAGTCTCGAACCAGGTCTCGGTAAATTGAAAATCTAATTTACACAGCAACGGTAGCTAATTTTTCATATAACACAGCTAATCGGAAGGATACAATGAAATCAAACTATCAGAAATGAATTCTCGGAATCACAAAGTGATCGTCAACAAAATCGGGTGTCGGACGGTATATTCTGCGTAGCAAGTGGCGTAAGTAAAAAGTAGATTCACATTGTTAATGTAGGTAGAATTTCTCAAGCCGGTAATGTAGAAACATCCATCGCGTGTCGCGCGCCAATACCAATTTTAATAATAAGATGGCGGGTCCAAGTAAAATTGCGATGTCATCCACGTAGAGCGTAGGTAATAGGTAATATCCAGGTAGACACAACGCAAAAGAAAAAAACATATAGAGAAACAATAAGAAAACTTTGAGAGAAGGTCCTAAAAAAATATACGTATTAAGAAAAATGTTGCGTAATCATCTAACATGCCTGGTACTGTTTATATGCAAGTACAAAACGCTTCAATGGAGCTACAGCCAGAGACGTCAAAGAGAAACAGAAACCACTCCAAAGATAAATGGTAAAGCCAAAACAATAATCCTTTTATACAGGTAAGACACGAAGTCGGTAAAAGTAATGGCGTACCAAGAGAAAAATTTGCATGTAACCAATGCGACGGTTGAATCTTTACTGAAAGGAAAATACCACTCTTGGGCACGATACAATTTAAGAAGGGATAGAATTAGAATTACCAGGGAAAACATCTGCACGACCTCTGTCGGCGAAACAAAGAACTATTTAATTTATAACACAAATTTACTACAGGAATAACTTGTAAGTTCGAGTGGATTACCAAGTGAGTTAATGTAATTAAGAGTTTAAATAAGAGTACGAATCGAATAATTACTTAAGCGGGATTTCAGGAATATGAATCTGTAAAAAAATAACGTTACACATTTCTTTGCTTCCCTCCATTCCATAGGCATTC